TAATCCCCATAAATAATTGTGTTTTCAAGTGCTGTGAAGTTGTAGGTCCCCCCTTTGCCACATATTCATCCGTGCCTTCCAAGGAAGAGGCTTTTCCCCCCCCCCCCGCCACACCCAAGATTTGATTGGCCCCAATTCTGCTAGCTTACTAAAAACCTGTTTTTTTCCTTTGGGGGTTTGGATCAGAGATGTTAGACTGCCCAACTCAGGAGGTTGTGCAATGTGTTTGATGGGCAGAACATATATTTTGTTTTATTTCTTTTATTGTTAATTATTTTTATTTTAGCTGCCCAGAGTCATTTTGATGAATTATAGCAGCCATATAAAGTGAGTGAGTGAGTGAATAAATAAGCAAACAAAACTGCAAGTATTTTTCTACACGAAAGGGAGGGACAGTCCTCAAGCAATGAGTATCTTCCACTTCTGTGGAAGCACAAAAAGCACCTAGAGTTAATATGTCTGTGCCCTTCCTTCAGAGGAAGGGGAAAGTGTCTATCCTGATTTTTCTGACATCACCTTTGACCTATTAGTCAGGCTTGCCCTCGTATTTCCAGAATCCAATGTATGGCCTGTGCTAATACAGCACCTTTAACACCCTTGGGCAAGCGGTCTTCAGCTATTCAATAAGAAACAAAAAATCTGTACCAAAGGTATCCATGCAGTGGCGGGGGGAGGGGGGGATGCAAAATGTTAATATAGCATCTGTGACCACCATTTTCACTTTTTTGCACCCTCTATCATCAACTACAGGTGCCTCTGATTTGTAGGTCCAGTATAATGAGCTTAAATGATGGGGGACACTTATATCAGCCATCTTCACTTTTAGCTCTCTGACAGAAGACCAGTTTTTAATTTTCCTGTTAAATCTTCCACTCATGTATGGAGCAATCCACAACAATACTGAGTGGAAATACCATCTATCTTTTTAGGAAAGTTCTTGGTGTGGACCTGGAATTAAAGTGTATGGCTTATACATAGATGGAGCATGCTGGAATCCCAGTACACAGGCTTTGGATGAAACTGAACTTCACAGAAGATTTTATCCATTACCAGACATCCAATTTTTACCACAAAAGGTGATTTTTAATATAACACATTATAGGAGTACAGAGTAGATAATAATGCAAATTATGCTAATTCTCTAAATGAATATATAATCTTCATTTAAAATCTGACATGAGAAGTTCAGATTTTTATGGTATTGTTTCACTATCTTGGTATGACATTTTCCCATGTTGATTATTTAGGTTTAAGTAAATGTTACAAGTCACTACATTGTTATAATGTAGCATATACTTGGATGTAAATTATCATTTTCAAACGAGCAGCACATTAACCAACCTGGAATGTTGTTGTTTGGAATAATATTCAGCCAGCTACTTTCTCTTCTAAAATATTTCATTACCATTTCTTTCCTCCATCCTGTTTTCTTTACCCATAGATGCTCAAATGATGCCACCGCTAATTATGCTCCTTTCAGCTGTTTTGGAATTTTGCCCCTTTTGTTTTAATTTAAAAATGACATTTTGTACAGAAGTGATTTCTGTCAGCACCCAAGGATGTCACAGTTATCTTTGTTCAGCAACACAAATATATTATGTACATTTGAATTCTGGCATGGAAAGATAAAGGTGACTATGTGATTATGGGATATGCAGGCAAGGTAGAGGTTCTTCCAGGTTTCCATAGTGCTTACTATTTTATTCTTTTTTTCTAACCTGGAGTACAGGTTCTTCAAATGCTTATGGCTATTACAAAGTCCTCACCTTTACCTTTCTTTTCTTTTTTTCTTCCCTTTTTTTTGTCTTATAATCTTAAAATACCTTATTAATTTATTTAAATATATCTTTATTTAAATATATCTCCACAATATTGAAGCAATCAGTTGCTCTGAAAAAAACCCCTAAAATACAGGTTCTAGAGAGCAATTTTGTGTTAGACTATCCTCTGCCTTGTTATAATCTTATTTCCATTGTCTTCATCATTTTTGATGGTAGAAACTTGGAAACTACTGCTATATATTCAAAATCAGGCAACAGTTACCAAATAGTTTACCTGACACTTTTGGAGTCTTTGAAATATGCCTTCAAACACCCTGAGAGACCTGACTTTTGGGTCTTAGACACAGTATCTTTACATCATTCTTTGAGGCAAATAATTTTTGTGCCTTTCACTAGATCTTATATATGTTACATGTAGGCTAGAATGATATCAAAAAATTGCAACATTAGTTTAGGATAGCATAGTGGTCACATAGTCCAGTCACTAAGACATTTCTATAAAGTAACTGCACAGAAATCAGAAGCAACCAAGATGTCTGATTCAGAAGCTGAAGTAGCCTCAGCATCAGTTTTTCTTTTATGCTTTTTCTAATCTAATATTTAATAAATATTTTATGACAGCTATTTTTGAGCAGATAACTTAAAGATAACCCTATCTTCTTTCCTAAATTGTAAAATATTCTGGTATCAAGCATCTTCGTCAAGCATCTTCAATTCCTGGGGTAAATGCCTATTACCAATATCTGGAATATCGGTGTAGTGTAATCTTTTACAATTTATCTGTCATGATCCCAACATTTTCTAATTAAGAATCACTCAAGGAATTTATGACTCTAATATCTTACATTTTTGGCCTTTCATAATCTTGGCTTTGACTGCTGTGACAGCACCAATAAAACGAATGTAGGTTGCCTTCTGTCAGATTAGCTCTTGGTTTCTTCCTGCCTTTCATTTCACTGACCACTTCTTTTTTCTTGAAGATTTCCTATATTTCATTCACTAATATTCTCATCATGAATATGTGGATATTCCCATCACACATTAGCTCTGCTGTGCCTTCAGTTTTCCACTGTTATCTCTGTTCAACTAGCCCCAAGCACATAAAATACAAGTTAACTTGAACTGGGGGTTACCTCAGCTGTTGCTCTCTTCCTCTTTTGCATGGTCAGCATAATATGGCTATGTAAAAATGGCTCAGCTTGAAACATCAGCACAAGAAGAGCCTGATCCCTAATTTACTGAAGCAATTTTACAAAAGCAGGGGTTTTTTTTCCAAAGTACTGGGTTTGTGTAAGATTTATTCAGGGACACCAAAAAGTAAATTCAGCTTTGACTAAGAAGGAAAGCTATCTAGAGCTTTCCAGGCCCACAGGAGAGAAGCGCCTCTTCCAGTGAGAACAATGCCAAAGAAGAAAAAAAAAATCATAAGCAGCCTGAAGGCAGACATAAACAAAGAAACTCATCTGCAGCCTATCCCAGTCTAGGAGAATATCCAGGTCTTCAATAGCTTCTGGATCTCTTGGGGACATCATTCCTGAGGTCAGGCACTGCGGTAGAGAAGGCATAGTTCCTGGGCCCTGTTAGATTACATTACTTCATTATTGGGACCTGAAACATCCCTACTCTGCCAGCTCTCACCAGATGGAAGAAACAGCTGGAGACAGGCGCTATGCCATGAAGAGCTTTATAGATGATAACCAGCACTTTGAATTGTACCCAGAAGCTGACAGATAACCATTGCATCTCATGGAAGAGTGGGGTCACATAGGCATATGACACTGCCCATGCTGCCTCATTCTGGACCAGCTGTAGCTTCTGAGTGGTCTTAAGGACAGCCCCATGTAGAGTACATTACAATGATCCATTTGTGAGATGACTAAGGTGTGAATGACTATTTGATGCCATGCTGCATTGGGCATAGTATCAGCCATAACTGTGATGTTTCATACTATTGTTCTATGTTTTGGAAGAATTTACTTGGCACTGCATCTGCTTTTTTTTAATGTAATATTTGTGATGGAGAATCAACTAATTTACAGATGCTTGACGACATTCCAGAAAAAAGCTCTTGCAAAGACTTGATGTTTTGAGCCCCACCTCTCAATGAGCAATATATACTTAAATTGTTCCTTTGTTTTATTATAACAAGGCATGCTGGTCCCAGATGACCACTGTAAATTGCTTCCTAAGTTGTTCTTTACTGGTCCTTAGGCATACAACTTATTTAACCTGTAGAAATTGCAGTTATTAATGTTTTAATTAACTTAATATAATTATTTATTAGATTACCTTTTGCCCAAGTCACTCTTATGAAGAAGAACGCCTGCTCTTATATGAATGTCCATTATACAAGACATCTCAAAGATCAGGAATGCTGTCGTCTACGGGTGCATCTACAAATTTTATAACTGTAGTTAATCTGCCAAGTCTGGTAACTCCCAGCCACTGGATATTGAGAGGAGTTGCACTGTTATGCCAAATGGATGATTAAGAAATATAAAATATTATCATCCCTTATTTGAAATGAATACTTCACTGTTTCTGTTTAGTATCAGACACAACCTAGTTTTAATTGTTTAATGTTTTATAATAAACTTGTTTCCTATGCAGTATGTGCAAACTCAGTTTTATATCATGGTTTTCTGTTTTCTTTTGTCTTTTTCCCCTTTATTCAATTATTACAGGTTAATTAAAATGAGAGTACACAATGATCAAAGATGGCGGCATACAAATTTGAAAATAAATAAATAAATAAATAAATAAATAAATAAAATAAATTTAGCCTCAGGATTATATGCTGCTTGATAATGTGCCTACAGGACTCTCCCTTTGAACTCACAGGCTCTTAGACCCAGCTAGTTTTTATTTAAAAGTTTTTTTAAAAAAAGACAACACTGGCATTTTATCTAGAAATGTTTATTTCTAAGAATGCTCTGCATCTCAC